ACGGCTTTATTGTTGGATTCCTCGAATTTTCTAACGGAGGGTGGTTGTCATTTATCGATTACTTATCAGAACTTCGAGCCATTAGGTTTTTTTTATTAGTAATCATTTTACCTATTACGATACAAATTATGACATTTTTATTACAACATGTGCATCCGCTTGTTTTCATTATAGTATAAATATAAATGTCCTGTTTTGTATGGAATAATGCGGGATCGATAAATTAAATATAGAATAAAACACATTCTAACAAATCATTAGAGGTGTCGCGGTCGTTTTTTATAGCAACAAACCAAAAAATAAATTCTCAATACTGTGCACAATTTTACATTTCATTAAATTTGAGAACACCTCTGGAACTGGTTTAGGTGACTGCGGTAACTTAATAGGCCAATCAATCCTCTGTATTGACAAACCAATAGACAGTACGAATAATCCTTTTAAAGAATTTTATTACATATAAATATAACCCATATAAAAAAACAGCACCGTGAAATATTATTTGAAAATTTTGAAAGAATTCCGAAATGTTTTTTACTTGTTTTTCGTTTCTCAGGTGATTACGGCCTCGAGACTCGTATGTATGTTGCCGGAACAAACGAATTTTTAATAAACATTGCCTGACGGATGACTAGATACTTAAGGTTGTCCTATTCTTATCAGGGAGTTGTACGAATGTGCCCAATGACGTATGCGCTCGACTGTTGGCTTTCGTCTTTTTAACATAGTTTTCCGATGTGTTTTTCACTTGTTTTTCGTCTCTCAGATGATACACGGCCTCGAGAATAGGATGTATATCGCCGGAACAAACGAGTTTTTTGTAAACGTTGCCTGACGGTTCATAAGACAGTTCACGTTGGCCCTTTAACTACGAGGGAGCTGTACGAGTGTGCTTTATGTGAATATGCGCTCGTCTGTTTCCGTGCGTAGAAGGTACAATGTTTTCCGTAGAACTCATGTAATGAACGATTATTGTTCCGTTAACTTTCTGGCTGTTGTTAATGTAATATACATAATGTATAAAAATATTTTAAATTTTATAGGCTAGTTAAATATGTATGTTGCCATTAACAAAAAATTAAGTTTAAGCCCCTCCAAGTTATAAGGGATGATTTTTAAAAGTAATTATTAGCTGATAAATCAAGGAATTAAATTTTGTTTTGCAATATTGTATTTATTTTGCGAGTAATCGAGTGGTTCATGATAAACCGATCACTCTGTATACAAATAATAATAATAAAATAACTTTGAGTTTCAAATATGAACAATAATTTTTAATGCACAAAAGTAAATCTTCACAAATCTATCCAATCAATTTCTTTCCTTTTATGATAAGTAAAACAAATTAAAAATAAAACAATTATCTATATAAGATGTACCAATATATATTGGTGTTAATAATATTGTAAATAAGTAAACGTGTTTATTAACAATAAAAACAATATACGATTCAAAGTCAATATAAATAAAATTATAATTAATAATTATTAATGAATAATATGTTCGGTTTACTATCTTTAATAAAAAAAGTCATATTTTAATGTTTACTACACTATTAAAATATCAAAAAAATTTTATTCCTACAAATCATCCTTTGATAGTGGACTTTATTTATTTTTTAACATAACGGCATATTTGTATTTCAACATAGGGGAGTGTAATATAGTATATTACCTTTAAAGCAGGAAGTAAAACATTTTATTTAACATCGTTATGTTTTCTATAACTGTTACATAATTATTAGATCTTATATCTGTAGACAGAGATGCAACAGTCTTAGTGGGGAAAAAATACAGTAAATATTACTAGACGGGTAGTAAAGCAGCGGAAAGAATTTGTCTCACAGGTAGCTCCAAATAGAAATTTAGAGAAGATCGGACGGCAATGCAAACACGCTGCAGCGGACGGACAGTGGCTTATGCGTCGGTAATTATTATTATATTGCAATATACAAGCAGTTTCAAAATGGAAGTCGGACAACAAGACGGACAAGGCGTAGCAGGCGGGCAATAGTATGTACATCGGTAATTATTATTATATTGACAATATACAGGAGTTCCAAACTGGAAGTCGGACGAGAAGACGGACAAGGCGCAGCAGGCGGGCAATAGTATGTACATCGGTAGTTATTATATTGACAATATACAGTAGTTCCAAACTGGAAGTCGGACGACAAGACGGACGAGGCGCAGCAGACGGTCATTAGTATATACATCGGTAGTAATTATTATATAGATACCGTATTTTATTATATATAATTATATATATCATATTTTATATATCAATTAACAGTGAGTAAAATTTAACTTGTGTAACTAAATAAATAAACTATTTAAAACCTAAGTAATGTCCGGTGCCAATAATTGTACACTTTACCGTGTTGCTCCAATTTGTATTTAGTGGTGGTTGGACGGTCGTTGTCATGCGACAGCGACGCGAACACGCCTTAGCGGACGGGCAATGGCTTATGCGTCAGTGTTATTATTATATTGCAATATACAAGCAGATCCTAAATGGAAGTAGGACGACAAGACGGACAAGGCGCAGCAGACTGGCAATAGTATATACATTAGTAGTTATTATATTAACAATATACAGGATTTATTTGTGCTGGTAAACGTTAAGACACATATTGACACATAAGCATAGGGTATTTTAATAAAAAAAACTAACTAAAATATGTGTAAATCAAAATATAATAATTTTTAACAACATTGTTTTTGATTTGGGCATGATCTAATGTAATAGAACTTAATTATAACAAATGGTTTCTTAATAAATTACGACCTAAAAAAAGTATAACATTTTTATTTTAATTGTTCAAGTATATATCAGGTGAGAACATGGGTTCAGTAGTGTTATTAATTAACTACGTTTATTTGTAGATGAGACTAAACGTTTAATTCTATACCTGTATAAATATGTGTAAATTTCACTTAATGTTATTTGAGCGCACTACATATTTCAGAGGGATTGTTGTCATGCGACAGCGAGGCGAATACGCCACAGTGGACGGGCAATGGCTTATGCGTCGGTAGTTATTATAATGACAATATACAGGAGTTCCAAACTAATCAAACTGGAAGTCGGACGACAAGACGGACAAGGCGCAGCAGATGGGCAATAGTATATACATCATTAGTAATTATACAGTATAACTGCGGCCCCTTACCGTCCGGTCCGTGTTTTAGGCTATCCCCCGTATATGCCTCGTGTATAATGTTCCCCCCGCCCACAAAACACGGCTATACCTCATGCATGATACGTTTACGTATTTAGGTCCCTTTACATGTATATATATATTCTAATTACTATTAAAACTTATATATTAATACGCTTTATTCTCATTAAGAGATATGTGGTGTATTCATTCCGATTACGGGGGATGATTCCCGTATCATTTTTCGTCACTAGCAGTTTCTCAGACTCTCTCCCCGGAATCGAACCCTGTATTCCCGTTACCCGTTACAACCATGATATTGATAGTAACTATTATCATAACATAAAACTAAAAAGTAAAAAATAAATATAGTTTAAAAAAACTAAAAAACACGCTTTTAAAGCACATTGAACTAAAAAGTTAAAAATAATTTTTAAAATAGCTTAAAACAATAATGAACGAAAAATATTAGTATTATTGTGATAAAAGCGTGAGTGCTTTGTGCCATATTTTTCGTATATTGAGCGCCCGATGCTTTTATCACAATAATACTAATATTTTTCGTTCATTATTGTTTTAAGCTTATTTTAAAAATTATTTTGAACTTTTTAGTTCAATGTGCTTTAAAAGTGTGTTTTTTAGTTTTTTTAAACTATATTTATTTTTATCTTGCTCAAAATTTCTTAGGTACTAAGTACCTCTATATGTGCACCTAAGGACTATTATATATTGTAAAATAATAAATAAATATAAACTTTATATTTCTCTCACGACTAATAAACAAGTAATATTAAAATACATAAAAACAAGCTAAGATAATTGTGATATTTGTAAGCTTAATAGTACAATTAAAATTTAACATATATAAGTTTTTATTTGTGGATCATATATTAGATCTAGTAACTTATTAACAATAAGTTGTGTAACAAATAGCATATAAGTTATTTAATTTGAATATTTTTACATAAAGTGTTTAAATATATCGTATTTGATACACATATCTTCAAAATATTCCAATTTATTATTTTTATCAATGATGAAATAGTCTAAGATTTGTATGAACTAAAACTACATTTTGCTCATTACAAAAATTGATCACCTCTTGATCATTTGTTGAACCTGATGGACATGCAATAAACTCAACACCACTCTATAATATATAAACATATAATTATTAATATATTAATAAACACATAGTCATTATGATAATACATAATGTATAATTTATAATTTATTAATAATGTAAATCTTACCTGAATAGCTCTTTCAATATTATCACTAAATGGGAAAAATGCATCTGATGATAAAATAACACCTTTTAATTGTGAAATCCAGATTTTTCTTTCTTCAGTTGTTAATTCTACAGGAATTTCTTCAAATAATTCTTCCCATCTAGATCGTGATATTCCATTACCAATTGTATTATTTATATAGTCATCTACAGCATTTGCTACTTGAGCTCTTTTGACAGATTTTTTAAATTTCATACCTAATACCCGAGGATGTTGTCTAAGCCACCTGTGAATTACAAAAAATAATTATCTTTAAATTATTATACTAAATCTTTGGCTAGGTTATATCACATAATAATAATAACCAGTTATCAGCTTTATCACCAGCTAATCGGGTGCAATGAATTCTTGATTGCTGCCCGGCTCCAATCCCAATTGCTTGGCCATTTAAAGCGTAGCATACAGAATTGCTTTGAGTGTATTTTAAAGTTATGGTAGCTACAATAAGATTACGAATAACTTCTTCATTGACCTAAAATAAAATAAAGTAAAATTCAACTGTGTACATATTAATTACTATAGTTTAGAAAATAGAACATTTACAACTAACATTTTGCCGTTTAGTAACAATATTTTTAAAAAGTTCTCTATCTATTTTTCCATCATTACGTTTTTGTTCCAATGTAATTCCATATAATGTTTTTCTTTCTATAGGTTTTGGCATATAATTTTCATCAATTTGAAGTATACAATAGTTACCATTTTTTTTTTTTTTTAATAAATTTAGAGCTTCTTCATGATATCCAGGTGCAATAATACCATCAGAAACCTATAAAATTATATATCATAAATAATTGAATTTTTGTAAAAATTCAATTAACATAAACACCTCTAGAACCCTCTACTGTATCCACCACTGCTTAAGCTAGATTACTACTAAATATTAGTTAAAATAAAATTTTTAATTCTAATATTCCAAATTACAAATATAAATTTCAGAACTCTAGAATACATTTTTACAATTAAACAAGGTTTACCTATGTAATTTGTATTTAAAAAAAATAATTGAACGAACATACTTCTCTAGAAATAATTTTGGCTGTAACAAAATCACATGAATGGGACAATGCAATAAAATCTCCAAAAGAGGACATGCGATCTGCACCTCTAGCTCTAGCGTAAGCAGCACCAAGAGGAGTCATTATCTCAAGTAGATCTTTAACCATACACAAATTAGCCTAACAAAAAATAAAATATTTAGAAAAAGCAATGATTATAACTACAGCTACAAAAATTTTACTTCAGTCTCAGTTAGAGAAACACCTATGGCAGCTCCAGCAGGGCTAACATGTTTAAAAGATGTGGCAGCAGGAAGGCCAGTAGCTTCTTTAAGTTCTTTAACCAGTTGCCAACTATTTAAGGCATCACATAAATTAATATAGCCAGGTGATCCATTTATCACTAAATATTAAATCAATTTTTTTTAATTTTACTAAATCAGTTACTTAAAACAATGTGTTACTTCAATTTAGTTCAAGACAACATTGTATGTTTAATTTAGAAATAATATAATAAAATTAACCCCTATTTTTACTTTAAATCTAATTAAAAGACCAAAATTTTATAATTTGTATACCATTTGAAAATTAAAGTAATCCTTACCTTTTAATGGTAATTCAGATTCTGTAATGAATAGTTGAGCAGGGCTTTGATGGGGGTTCATTCCATACCTTAAATTAATTTGTCCAATATTATTAGAAAACTTTTTTCGAAAAAAATTTGATATAGAATCATCATAAGCAGCTGTGTGTGAAAAGGCTTTTAATGCTAATTTTTTTCGAGTTTCCAAAACTGTATTCTTATATAAAGATATTTCACTCATAACTTCTGAATAATCATTTGGATCACATATAACTGTGACTCTTTCATAATTTTTTGCAGCAGCTCTTAATAATGTCACACCTCCTATGTCAATATTTTCAACAGCATCAGACAGATCAACATCAGTTTTGGATATTACACTTTCAAATGGATATAAGTTACATACAACAATTTGAATTAAACTAAAATTTTGTTTTTCCAAATCATTTTGATCAGTTGGAGTTAAACGAGCGAGAATACCTAAAAATAGGCATTTAAAAATTAAGACTAAATATTAAATATAAAATTTTATTAATAATTATTTGATGTTCTTAACAGTGATTCAACTCAAATATTATCAAAGCTTCTAAAATATCAATTACCACACTAATACTTATAAAGGCATATCAAACAAACTGATTCATGTCCCAATTTTCCTTCAAATTAGTTGCTAATTATCTAACAATATTATTACATAATATTTTATCTATCACAAAAGTAAGTAAAAATGATTTTTTAAAATAAATAGTTTGAAAGTAAAAATCCCCATGAAAATTTTTAGTTTCGATGCGAAGCTCAGAAGGTATTGGTTTTACTAAGATGTGTTTATTTTTTTTTTTTTTTTTTTTGTGTCTGTTACCACTTTTTCTCAGCTCTCACCGAACCGATTTCTTTCAATGATACGTCAAAAGATCACAAATTGTATCTAGTCGAAGACATTACCCTCAAAAATTACAAATTTAAAAATGGCTAATTTTCCAAATTTTTTCAATTTTTTTTACTAAAAACTGCCGTAACTTTTTTAAAAATAAACATATCAATATAATTCTTTTTTTTATAGATGCATGATGTCATTACCTATCATTTGGTATATTTTTTTTATAAATCTGACTTTTTACCTGCCCACAGAAGGGGATTTAAAATGACAACTTAATTTTACAAAAAATTAATTTTTTCAACATAACTTTTGAAAGTGTTCTGGAAATACTGACACTTTTATATATATCTTAAATTAAAGCTAATGTAATATACATTATAATGGTAAAAAAAAATTTCGGACTTTATTTTATCTTCATGGTGAAAATAGACATTAAACTTAATAAAAAAAACCCAGCATAGGGGGGTCGCGGCACAGTGGTGACGTGGTATAGATGGATCAAGTATAATGATATCTGACAGTGATTAAAATCACTATAAAAAAAAAACGCTTCGATGCAAATCTTTAGATACTGTTTAATTTTAAAAAATTGGTGGACTATTCCAAAAGCTACATGATCTGCTAGTTCATTATTAATATCCTAATTAAGATAAAGTATGTAGAATGAAAAAGGGATTATTAAAAAATATTATTTCTCATAAAAAAATAATGTTGATCCATACACTTTTCAATATGTCATAGCATTATAAAGTTAAAAATGTAAAAAATAAAATCGAGAATTTTCACACAAAAATAGCATTCGGTAGCCATTTTCACCGTGAAGATAAAATAAAGTCCGAAATTTTTTTTTTGCATAATAAAGTATATTACATTAGCTTTAATTTAAGATATATATAAAAGTGTCAGACTTTCCGGAACACTTTCAAAATTTAAGTTGAAAAAGTTCTACTTTCTACATGCATTTTTTAGATTTGAACCCCCCTCGTATATAGGGAAATGGTCGGATTTAAAAAAACAGTATGTCAAATGAAAGATGTATATAAATACTACTCCTCATGAAAAAATTGTACTGATCCATAGATTTTTCAAAAAGTTATAGCATAANCTCATAAAAAAATAATGTTGATCCATACACTTTTCAATATGTCATAGCATTATAAAGTTAAAAATGTAAAAAATAAAATCGAGAATTTTCACACAATAATAGCATTCGGTAGCCATTTTCACCGTGAAGATAAAATAAAGTCCGAAATTTTTTTTTTTACATAATAAAGTAGATTACATTAGCTTTAATTTAATATATATAGAAAAGTGTCAGACTTTCCGGAACACTTTCAAAATTTAAGTTGAAAAAGTCAAATTTTTGTGAAAAAGTTGTCATTTTAAATCCCCCCTTGTGGACAGGTTAAGGGTTAAATTTATGAAAAAAATATACCAAACGAAAGGTAATGATATTACACATCTATATAAAAAAAGAATTATATTGATATGTTCATTTTTAAAAAAGTTATGGCACTTTTAAGTAAAAAAATTTCGAAAATTAGCGATTTTTAAATTTGTAATTTTTTTGGAGGTTTCCCCCATTTACGGGGAACGAGGGAATTTTTTTCAATTTTTGAGGGTAATGTCTTCGACTAGATACGATTTGTGATCTTTTGACGTATCATTGAAAGAAATCGGTTCGGTGAGAGCTGAGAAAAAGTGGTAACAGACACAAAAAAAAAACAAAAATAAAAATAAACACATCTTAGTAAAACCAATACCTTCTCAGCTTCGCATCGAAGCTAAAATACGATTTTTGTAAAAAAAATTCTTTTTTATATATGAACTTTATAATGCTATAACTTTTTGTAAGATGTATGGATCAATATAATTCTTTTTTTGTAGATGCATGATGTCTTTACCTATCATTTGGTATATTTTTTTTATAAATCTGACTTTTTACCTGCCTACAGGGGGGGATTCAAAATGACAACTTTTTCACAAAAAATTGACTTTTTCAACTTAAATTTTGAAAGTGTTCCGGAAAGTCTGACACTTTTCTATATATATTAAATTAAAGCTAATGTAATCTACTTTATTATGTAAAAAAAAAAATTTCGGACTTTATTTTGTCTTCACGGTGAAAATGGCTACCAAATGCTATTATTGTGTGAAAATTCTCAATTTTATTTTTTACATTTTTAACTTTATAATGCTATAACTTATTGAAAAGTGTATTGATCAATATAATTTTTTTATGGGAAATACTATTTTTTAATAATCCCTTTTTCATTCGACATACTTTATCTTAATCAGGATATTAATAAGGAACTAGCAGTTTATGAAGCTTTTGGAATAATCCACCAACTTTTTAAAATTAAACAGTATCTAAAGATTTGCATCGAAGCGTTCTTTTTTGATAGTCATTTTAATCACTGTCAGATATCATTATACTTGATCCAACTATGCCACGTCACCACTGTGCCGCGACCCCCCTGTGCTGGGTTTTTTAAAGTATATTCACTATAAAAATAAGTATTTGTTTTGTAAAATTTTTAATTATGTGAAGAACTTTAATTTGAAAATTACCTCCATGTATAGCTGGATGTAAAGTTTTAACGCGGCCTCCAAGTATTTCTGGTGCTCCAGTAAAATCAGAAACATTAGTAACTAGAAGTTTTGCTTCATTTTGAAGAAAAGAAGATGTTCCTCCACTAGCTAACAGTTTAAAACCGTTTTTAACAAGATGACCAGCAAAATCTAGTAAGCCAGTTTTATTAGATACACTGATCAATGCTGAAAAATTATAAATATTTAAATTATTTGATCTGTATTGGCGTGAAAAGCTATTAAGATAATAATTAATTACTGAATAATATAAAACTAGCACTTAAGTGGTATATGTATGCTATTCATTTTATCATTAAAAATACATTTCTACTTTTCACCAAACCATGAAATTTCCATAATAAATTAAAATAATAATAAATCAACTTAATAAATTGGTTTTTATAAAAGAAGGCGTTGGGTTTGATTAATATGGCGTATTTGATTAATATTTCATAAAAATTAAAAATAATAAGAAGCATACTTATACTATTATTTTGTATACATTTTTCCCCATGAGCATTATTTTGAAATGTATAAAAATTGATAATATACAAGCAATAGGCCAAAATGGTTTTACTGGGGACCAAACATTTTGAACACTTAAATGGTTTTATTTTAATTGCACCAATAAAATATTTTTGGAAGGATTCTTCATTACACTACTTTTGGATTATGGATTCAACATCTAGTAACTTTTTAAATTATAATAAACCTTAATGAATCTTATTAAATTAGATTTTTTTTCATTATGCACAATCTCTACAACTTTATAAAATACTTTAAAAAATAATCATACTTAGTCTTGAGGTTAATATAAAAAAAAAGATAAATAGTTGGTAAATTATTTATAATATTTTATTACAACCATAAAAATGATAAAATAATTTTTGATAAATTTAAAAATGCTACTAAAAATTATATCACAATAGGCGTATTAAGAAAATGTATTTACCTAGATCAAATGTAGATGACATGATCAATTACAATTAAATTCAGTTGATATAATGAAACTTAAAAATTTCAAGATTAAACAGGAATATTTTAAATTACGTAATATGTAGTGTACACCACGTGTTTTGTTGATTTTAATTGTAAATTGTAATAACAACTAAAGAATGGTTAAGAAAAATAATTATAATCCCCACTAATTTATTATAAAAAATTATACATTGATAAATATACTACATTAAATTATAATTAATTTCTTTAATTCCTTGTTAATCAAGTGCATACTTCTTATCAGTCTAAATGCCGTTAAATATCGTAAAAAGTCACCATAACCTCATTTTGATTCGTAAATATCAAATATCTATCATTACGAGATAGTAAGGGAATCTATTTCTTAGTGTATCAAATCGTTTTTCATTTTATTTTACCCATTAAATTATTTTCTGTTACGTTCAACGTCTCTTTGTTGAGCTTTAAATTGATTAAGTAAGCTACATCAAATTTTTTTTTTTATTTATAATTTATTAATTTTTTAAAGAATACATAGAAAAATAGTAGCAGTGAGTTTTTAAAAATTTTGACTTTATGGTTTGATTTGATAGCTCTTTGCAGTAGTATTGAGTAATGACATCTGTTTGGTGATATATGTTTTAATTTTTTTAATATTAAAGTGTCTATTTTGTTTATTATATAAGGGGTACAGATATATAACTTTGTTTTTGTTCTCTGGAAACATTGTAGAAACTGTAGTATTCCAGAAATTATTACCTTTTTTATACTGTACCCTTCATTTGATTTATGATAAATATACATTTAATTAAAAATTATCTATGATGTTTATTTTTTGTTTATAGATAATTTACTAAAATTATGTCTCCAGTTGAATCTAATAATGATCACAAAAAAAAAAAAAAACATATTGAAGAAACAGAAAAAGTTAAAACCAAAAAAATCAAAACAGAAATCGTTGAAGAAAATGAAAGCTTGAATAATTCCAATAATATCGAAGGTACACTTAAAAAGAAAGAAATAAAATCTAAAAAGTCAAAGGAATTACCTACAATTAGTATAGCTGTACCAGGTTCTATTTTGGACAATGCACAATCTCCAGAATTTAGAACTTATTTAGCTGGTCAAATAGCCAGGGCAGCTTGCATTTACAAAATTGATGAAGTTAGTTTCTTTAGGTTAATTTCTCCTTCACATTATATTCGTTTTATTATTTTTAGATAATAGTATTTGATGATATTGGTGAACAAACTAATGTTATGATAGCTAACAAAAAAACTGAAGGTGGCTCAAAAACGTGTAAACAATTAGCAGTTATCTTACAATATTTAGAATGTCCACAATATTTGAGAAAAGTTTTATTCCCTCTACATAACTTTTTGAAATATACTGGTGTCTTAAATCCACTAGATGCCCCCCATCATTTTAGACAAGATGATAATGTTCCATTTCGGTAATTATACATTTTTTTAAAATATATTTGTATATATTTTATATAATTTTATACAAATAAATATATACTAAAAACTACTCTTAACAATGTAATAGTCAAATTTTGAGCTACACATTGATGATAAAAATGCATAGCTTTAATAAATATTACATAGTTTTAACACCACATATATTGTGTATGATCTCTTATATTAAAATTATATTAACTCATACTATATAACTACTTCAAAAATCATTTTGAAATGGGCATTTTCAAATTTTATCTTAGTTTTGCCAAACAAAAAAAAATTTAACACAAAACTTTATTAATAACAGAGTTGTCACAGCGTATATTTTTAATTTAATTTTTCCCTTTCCTTATAAAATATTTTTTGTATAAAATATAAGACATAAAACATACTCTCATACAAAGTACTATACTTAAAACTCCTATAAACTACGTGAATGAGCAAAAAATGTTTTTCTTTTTATTAATAGGCCAGTCAACAAAGGAAAAATTTCCCAACCAAATTCTTTTTTTTTTTTAAAGTTAAATTAAGATATGTATAATGACATACTAAAAGTCCTTATTGATTGGAATTGAGCTTTTTTTTTTACAGCCTCGCAAAAGTTCAAAAATATGAGCTTTTTTAATTTTCTCAAAAAATATTTAATTCACAAAAAAAAGTTTTGTACAAAAGTTGTTTAAAAGACAATTCTAAACAAAAAAAGTATCTTATACTTTTTCATTTAAACAAATATTTTTCGAGTTACATTACATTTAATATGAGTACTAAAATTTATTTTCCAATTTTTTCATTTTACGGTTACTTTTTATCATGTTATACTTACATTAGACACAATGTTATAAATGCATATATGTGTATGTGTGAGTTTATTTATTTATAGTATGATGAAAGTGTAGTGTATATTAAGATACAACCGATAGAGTAGGTAATTGATTTGACGCTATATTGTTTAAACCCAATTAAACGCTAAATTGTACATTCCAAAAACAACAATTATATTATGTCAATTGGCACCGGAATTTCTGGTAATCTTTTTCTTTTTCTTTGCCTTAATTTCAACTACTTGGGGTCGGCCATCCTTATCCTAAACTTCCACTTGACACTATCTCCCACACTTTCATCAGCTGTCTTAATATCGCATTCAATAATATCCCTCAATCTCTTTTTTGGTCTTCCTCTACCTCTTCTTTCTTCAACATTCATTTCTATAACTGTTCTATAGCTACCGATTCTTCTCTCTACCATCTAAGTCTATTTTCTCTCATCTTATCCACGATTGATGCTAAACCTATACTCCCTCTTATATGCTCGTTCTTTATTCTATCTTCTCTAGTCACCCCACTCATCCATCTAAGCATTCTAATCTCTACTACACTCATTCTCTGCTCTACTTTCTTATCAACTGCCCAACACTTCGAACTATACATCATAGCTGACCTCACTACAGTATTATAGAATTTACCTTTCAGGCTCATTGGAAGTCTTTTATTGCATAAGACGCCAGACCCTTCTCTCCACTTCAACCACCCGTACTTAATCCTGTGTCTTACAATCTCGTCAATACCACCGCTCTTTTGCACAACTAATCCTAAATACTTAAAACTTTCCCCCTCCTCATTCACGTTCTCGCCTATTGTCACTGATCTCCTTATTTCACCTACCTCATGTTCTCTATTGTCAACCCAGCCAGAATTTCTGGTAATGATAAAATTAATTGTCATAAAGTGTATAAAATTGGTCTTGTTCTAGTAAACTCAATGGTGAATAATAAATTTCATGATATAAATCTTAGAGGTCAAATAAAGTTATAACTCTAGCTTCAATCACTTCTATTGTTAAAATTAATAATGAAATAATTAAAGTAAACCCATTGCTACTATTTCAACTAATCGCTCTTTAAAAAAAAAACCAGCAGTGTGTATAATAGGGTGCAGTATGTGATATATGTGACAGTGATTAAAACCATTATCATAAAACAACGCCTTGATGCAAATCTGTAGATAGTGTATAATTTTAAAATTTTTATGGATTATTACAAAAGCTACATGATCTCCCATTTCCTTATTTATATCATAAATACAAGTTATATGCATTACTAGTGTAAAGTATGTAATCGATGGAGGATTTCTCCTCTATAAAGTTATTTGACAAATGTATCAAACAGAATTTTTTTCCATTTTCTTATTCATTTTCCCAATCTATATTTTGATAGAATATATCTTCAACTAAAGTATAATCTTCTTAATCTTCAATATTTATTTCTATTGAATTTGTACGCCATTGACCTTTGCAATGTTCACATATAATAGAACATTTAAGCCCTGTTTTTTGGCAGCCACAATTTTTACCAGATCCAGCACCTGACTAAAGGCCGCTTTATGACAATTATCTTTAATATTAGCAGAAATTCCGGTGGCAATTGACATAATATAATTGTTGTTTGGGAATGTACAATTTAGCGTTTAATTGGGTTTAAACAATATAGCGTCAAATCAATTACCTACTCTATCGGTTGTATCTTAATATACACTACACTTTCATCATACTATAAATAAATAAACTCACACATACACATATATGCATTTATAACATTGTGTCTAATGTAAGTATAACATGATAAAAAGTAACCGTAAAATGAAAAAATTGGAAAATAAATTTTAGTACTCATATTAAATGTAATGTAACTCGAAAAATATTTGTTTAAATGAAAAAGTATAAGATACTTTTTTTGTTTAGAATTGTCTTTTAAACAACTTTTGTACAAAACTTTTTTTTGTGAATTAAATATTTTTTGAGAAAATTAAAAAAGCTCATATTTTTGAACTTTTGCGAGGCTGTAAAAAAAAAAGCTCAATTCCAATCAATAAGGACTTTTAGTATGTCATTATACATATCTTAATTTAACTTTAAAAAAAAAAAAAGAATTTGGTTGGGAATTTTTTCTGCTATTCGCCAAAATTACTCCTTCGTTGACTGGTCTATAAAAGAATTCCTGAATAATATTTTTGCTGCCTCTGATTTCATGTAATTTTTTCATAATAATATTCAAATAAATTCAACCATTGAGCTTAAATAACTTAGTGCTAATGTTATTGAATTAGTTTACAATTTTATGAAACTTATTTTTTATTATCTAAAAACAAAAAGGTATTGTATCTAAAAATAATCAAGTATTCATAAAATATATAGTATCCTAGTATATAATATTGAATTTTATATTTCAGAGAAGGTGTAGTATCTACACTTCCACCAAAAAAGGGAAAAGGTTGTAATGTAGATGTTGGCTTGAAAAAACATGTTCTTGTTGATCAATGTATTCAGCCATATGTAAGAGTCACTGTCAAATTACTTCCAAAAGATAATGACTCCAAACGTCAAAAAGGAATTGTAGTATCACCCAATACTCCAAAAAGTGAAGCTGGTATTTATTGGGGTTACAATGTGAGATGTGCTGATTCTATTAAAGAAGTGTTCACTAAGTGTCCTTATCATGGTGGTTATGATTTAAAAATTGGAACATCTGACAAAGGTGTTGATATAGATAAATGTGATCATAATCAATTAAATCACTACAAACATGCTTTAATTTGTTTTGGCGGTGTTCATGGACTAGAACAAGCTTTAGAAACTGATACTAATGTTGAATTGAAAAACCCTGCTGATTTATTTGATTTCTACTTAAATACTTGTCCTGGTCAAGGTTCAAGGACTATCAGAACTGAAGAAGCTATTTTAATTACTTTGGCGGAATTGCGTTGTAAAATTAAATTGAAATAAATGTATTAAAAAGAATTATATGAACTGTAATATTATTATTATCATTATTATTTCACTGATTTAATAATTGGACAGTTTTTGTAAACAAAATATATTTTTTCCCCATTATAATGCATATTTTACATTGATGATAACATATTATTCACCATCTTCTAATAATTCAACACAGTAATAAAATATTGATAAAAGCAAGGTAAAAATCGAACAATACATAGATTTGATTATGATTGTCTCAAAATGTAATATATATATATATATATATATATACCAAATGATGGTTAAATACATCATGCATCCATAAAAAAAAAGAATTATATTGATCCATACATCTTTCATAAAGTTAAAAATAAAAAAAAATTTTTTTTACAAAAATCTTATTTTTTTATTAACTTTGATGTCTGTTTTCACCATGAAAACAAAATAGTCTGAAATTTTTTTTTCCATAATAAAGTATATTACATTAGCTTTAATTTAAAATATATATAAAAGTGTCAGACTTTCCATTTACTGGGAACGAGGGAATTTTTTTCAATTTTTGAGGGTAATGTCTTCGACTAGATACGATTTGTGATCTTTTGACGTATCATTGAAAGAAATTGGTTTGGTGAGAGCTGAGAAAAAGTGGTAACAGACACAAAAAAAAAATAAAATGAAGCTAAAATGTGAGTATTCCGTGCGTTCCTCAAGACGTAAATTTTCAATATTTGACCCCAACCGCACATAAAGAATTTATTCAGTATATTATTTAAAGTGATCATAGTGTGCAAGATATACTGAGTTCTAACATTTTATCGCTTTCTTTGGGATGTGATGGCAGTTTGGACCGCATACAAATAGACAAGATATATGTTTTTGAAAAAGTCATAAAAAAATCTGGTGAATCAGTTCAATATTTCCTTGGGATAAGTGAACCAACTTGTCAAGGTGCTGAGGGAATACTTGGTGCAATAGAGAACGCCATCGATACTACTTTAGGAGAAGGAATGTCTAGACAACTTTTTGAATTTGTCATCTCTTTGATAACAGATATAGCAGCAGTAAACACTGGTTGTAGAGCAGGGTTGTGGGAGCTCTTTAGGAGAAAGTACAAGATTAACTCAAATTTTCCTTTCATTACCATATGGTGTGCAGCACACAGATCGGATTTGGCTTTCAAATCGAGTAGTAATTGTGTTAGAGAGTTGAAATATATTTTTTCAGAGTTAGTTGTTTTAAGCTTTAGTATTATTCTTAAAAGATTGTCCTAACAAAGAGGCAAGAGGATACAGACTTTTAGCTTCGATATGAAGCTGAGAAGGTATTAATTTTACTATGATGTGTTTATTTATTTATTTTATGTCTGTTGCCACTTTTTCTCAGCTCTCACTGGACTGATTTCTTTCAACAATACGTCAAAAGATCACAAATTGTATCTAGTTGAAGGCATTACCCTTCAAAATTGAAAAATTTTCCCTCGTTCCCCGCAAATGGGGGAAATATCCAAAAAAATTACAAATTTAAAAATCGTTAAATTTTGTCTTTTTTTTCTTAAAACTTCCATAACTTTTTCAAAAATCAACATATTAACATAATTTTTTTTTATACTAAATCCTTAGATATTTTCCTTTTATTTGATATCATTTTTTTGAAAATCTAATACTTAACCTGCTCATTGGGGGGGATTTAAAATAGCAACTATTTTACAAAAACTAACTTTTTCAACTTAATTTTTGAAAATGTTCCGGAAATACTACNTTCATTTGATATCATTTTTTTGAAAATCTAACACTTAACCTGCTCATTGAAGGAGATTTAAAATAGCAACTATAAAATAAAAAAAAAAAATTTGTCCCGACGACCTATCTTCTATGCGCAAATGGCTACCATATTCAAAAATATGCTATTTTAACAAATTTTTTTTTTTTAATTAAACATCTACAGATTTGCATCGAAGCGTTTTGATAATGATCTGAATCACTGTCAGATACAGGCCCGTCGCAAGATATTTTCCGCCCTAAAGTGAAAATATCTAATGCCGCCCTTAAAGGGCGTGGTTGGGTAATACAATTGGGTAACAAGTGTTGGGAGGGTAATACTTTACAGCGGCCTAGCCAGAGGAGGGCTTTGGGGCCATGCCTTCCCATTGGCTATAATTTGTGTAGAATTAATATAAAATTATATTAATAATAAAAAATTATTATTTAAATTTGATAAACAATATACTAATAAAAGTAATGTGTTTTTTTTACCCCCCACCCATTGAAAAATACTGGCTACGCCACTTTACTGTTATCATCAAAGGGATTGGGGGATAAATTTCAGTTATTTTTGGCGTACGATATTTATGGACAGCCCATAAGATACTTATTTAAACAAGTAGGTGCATAAGTTATATTGAAATGACAAAATGTTTATAAATGTGTTGATTAAAAATATTTTAATTTGACAAAAGTCAAAACCATAAATATATATTTTATATACCTTTAAGAAAAAAAAATAATATACAAGTGTTCTTCATACATAATGTGTTTTATATAAATAAAAAATCAAACCTGGAAATAAACATAAAATGATGATAAAATTTGAAGTTTTAAAATAATATTTCAAAATTAAAAATTAATTTTTCTTGTTTTTTTTGTTGCAAAATCTTGCACTAAATTTTCTAAATTTAATTCTTGTGCCAACTCTGCTTCAATGGATAAAATTGATAATCCAGTCAAACGCTCATTACTCATTGTTGATCTTAAATGATATTTTATAAGTTTCAGTTTCGAAAAACTTCTCTCAGCAGACGCTACTGTCACTGGAATTGTAAGAATGATTCTTAAACTGATTTCAATATTAGGATATATTTCCTGGAGTTGATTATTATAAATGTACTCAAGATTTTTACTTGCTGAACTACTTGATTCTGTAAGTCGACAAAATAATTTTAGTTCTTCAAATAATTCGATGACATCAATATCTGCTGTATCATTTGATGATAGTAAAATCCCTAAATCTTTACAATGTTTTAGTATGGTTTCATGCTCCCAAGATTTTAAAGAATTTATATTATACATGAAACCAAAGTTAGAACAATGATTATCTAACTGGAGAAATCTATCTTGCAGAGAATTGATAGCCGTATCAATTATAGTATTGTAAAACTCTACTTCAAATTTTTTTTCCGGGTTATGAAGAGGAACATTATCTTGGTTTTCTTCAATCTTTTGCGCACTTGATAATCTTGAGGAAATTCTTCTAATATTCCAATGGCTGACGCAATTTCTTAAGCAATTAATTTTACTTTAGAAAACCCATTTTTTCGATATTCTTTTGAAAATTCAATGATTTATGATATACTATTAACAGAAATTTGTATATCAAAATTGATTGACTGCAGTTGCTTGTTGACAAGATTAAGAATACTTAATATTTCATACCAAATAATAATAGAACATATAAATTTAAAATCACATATATTTTTTAAAAGAGCGTATGCATCTGCTTTTGTATGAAGACCATTCATTTCATCTAAGTTTACATCATTCTTAATATGTTTTAGGGCATTACAAAGCTCTTCAAATTGATATCTTATGGGCCTTATCGCATTTATTCTCGACTCCCAACGCGTGTCGCAAACTTTCTTCAATGTTAATTTAGGTAAAAATTGAATCAAAATTTTCCATCTCTCAGTAGATGCCGAAAAAAATACATAAAGTTGTTGCACTATATTAAAAAATGAGACTGTGTAAATATTACATTTTGCTGCATCATTAACTACTAAGTTCAACGAATGAGAATTACATGGTACATAAAATGCCCGCGGGTTTATGTCAAGTATGCGTTTTTGAACTCCGTTATGTTTTCCTTTCATATTGGAGCCATTATCATAACTTTGGCCACGCATATCATTTATGTTTATTTCCAAATCAGAAAGCATTTTAATTATCCGGTCACTTAATCCAGTCCCGGTTTTATCAAAAACTTCAATAAATCCAATAAAATGCTCATGTAAAACTCCTGTCTTAATACAAACATATCTCAATATTATGGACATTTGTTCCTTATGACTACAGTCAGGTGTGCAGTCTAAAATAATGGAATAATACTTCGCAGCTCTCACTTTGCTTAAAATATTATTTTTTACTTTTTCACTCATTAAATTAATTAATTCATTTTGAATTTGAGGACCTAAATAATGTACATGTAATTGTTTATTTTGAATCCTTTCTACGTGATCTTTTAAAACATTATCAAACAACGAAAATAATTCAATAATTTTCAAAAAATTGCCATTATGTGGTGAATTTATTGTAGATGATGTTCCACGGATTGAAAGATTTTGCGCAGCCATGCAACGTAATATAGCGCATAACCGAACTAAAACAGACCTCCAATGTTTTATTTCAGATTCTATTTTACGTTGATTATGAGAATCAATAGTTTGATTTAATTTTAATTTTATAACCATTTCGTGCCAAGTTGAAAAATGAAGAATGTGTGTTTTTGAGGTTTCGTGAATTTTTAAATGGCCTGTTAAATTACGCCAATCGTTATATCCACATTCAGAGACCATACCTGAATCTTTTTTAAAACTAAACAACATACAACAGAAACAGTACACAGCATCATTTTTTTTTGAATAAACCAACCAGGATCTTTCTATTTTTTCTCCATTATTCAAAATTCGTTGATAATAAGCATCAGAAAATTTCCTATTTAATTGGTTTTTCGGAAAAGAATAATTTTTAATTTGCACAGGCCCTTTTTTTATAAGTGATATTCGAATTGAGTCGGTTAATTTTAGTGGCCAGTCACTTGGGTCATCTGAATGTTCAACACTATTTGTTTCCAATTCGTCATTTTCCGAAGTAATGTTAATTTCTTCATAATTAAATTTATCTGAATTAATAGAATCTTTATCAGAATCAGAAAATAAATCAACTTCTACCCGCGGCAAAGCTTTATCTGGTATTTCATAAGAAGTGGATTGTGAACAGTTTAAATTGTTATTTAATTGTATGTCCGAACTCTGTTGGGTTGTAGGTATATCAGAATTAGTTTTAGTTTGTGAACAATCATCATTCAGTAGTTTAATTTCATCTACAGGTTTTTGCAATAAAAATTTAGTAAAACTCCCTGCTTGTGTGTTAATAAAATTCTGTTTATTTTCTCGTATTTTTTTATATTCAAACCCGGAAAGTCGTTTTCGTGACGACATGGTCAATGCGTAATTGTGTAATATTATAACAAATATTGAATGATTTATAAACAAAAAATAATATACAAGTTTTTAGATAGCAAAAACTACCAATAATTAAAATATCTTTTTTTATAATCTACGAAGTATAAATAAAATTAAAAATACTTGAGCTCTATTAATCTTAGCAAAAACAATCAAATATAATAAATACCGATTATCTTTTACTTCGACGTCGTCTTAAACCGTATTCCATATGTTGTTCACCGATGGACGATTGTTGAGAAATGAAATTCAGTAAGATAAAAATTGGTCTAAACTCTCGTTAAATTCGACAAATGTATAACGCACAAAATAAAAATACCAACAGGTGACGGTCGTTTTTCTCATTATCAGTAAATAAAATAGGTTTTTAGGAATACCGGCCACACGGGTAGTGGGCAATAATCTAAAAGGTATATATATATATATATAGTTATAAAAGTATTCACTATAATATAGTGTATACATGTATAGTTATATTATAACTATGCACTGATCAATCGTAGTCACAACAAAATAGCGGAATTAATACGATAACAGTGTAGACGTAAAATAGTAATATTACTTCATTTTTTTTTCGACGATTATTAATTTAATTTTGCCGCCTCAATATATTTAAAATATTTTGCCGCCCTAAAGCAATGCATGACTTGCTTGTACCCTAGCGACGGGCCTGGTCAGATATCATCTATACTGGACCCAACAATGCCACGACCCCACTGTGCCGCCACCCCACTGTGCTGGGTTTTTATATGTAAATACTGTTTTTTAATAATATTAAAACTTAGAAGTGACAGAAAAAGTCTAATTGCAGATTTGAAAACATCGTGAAAAGTTGATTTAGAATGGTATATTTTTGTTACTGATGAAAGTTCTTTGTAGTTCAGTGCATTTATTTCTAGTAACAAACAGTTTTTATTGAAATTTATTGTATCAAGCCCTTTAAATTTTTATACACGTAAAAATAAAGCAAAATACAACTTCTTTATTATTTTTATAATTTCTCCGTTTAAATTACAATATTAAATTATTGAATATCAATTTCATACTAAATTTAATAATTATAATTAGTATTTATTCATATATTATATTTTAAAATCAAAGAACTACTAATCAGGATATAATTAAAGAAATAAGAGTTGATGTTGCTTTTGGAATAATCCACCAATTTCTCTAAATGAAACACTATCTACAGATTTGCATCGAAGCGTTTCTTATGATAGTGATTTTAATCACTGTCAAATATCATCTATACTTGTCCCATCTATGCCTTGTCTACACTGTGTCTCGACCCCACTGTGCTACCGTTTTTTTTAATCAATTATGACAATCTACAAATCTTCGCATTTATTGCAGACGTATTGATGGTTTTCAGCAGATATCAGAAAAAACTGCAATCTGATACAATTACAATTTTAGACATGGACAAAGAGACAGTAGTAGATATGAAATATATGTTCTGGCTCAATTTCACAATGTGAAATGTGAAATGTCATTAGAGCGGCGGCATTTTAACCCAACAAAAGGTCTATTTTAGAAAAATTACTTAATGATTTTATTTATTTCCACGCACTCACAAATAAGTAGTTAAAGTCAAAATTTAAAATACAAAAAGACATTAGAGCAATGATAATTAAGACGGTGACGACGGAAGCGTCAACGTTAGTGGTGATGACGGCGGTGTTTAACCCAACGCTACCTAAACATGACTACATGTGTAAAGTGTGTACAACATAAAAAAAATTGACTTTCCTTAATTCATGCCCCTTAATAAGTAGTTTAATAGAATGGATTAGACTAACAGCGATATTACGTTTAATATCGTTTATTTTAAACTTAAAGTTTAATAATATATTTATAAAGATATTTACAGTGCAATATTATTTGCAACTACATTTTTGATATTGAGTCAAATTCTATTCGATAGTTCAGTAACATAAACAAATAATTATTTTCGCTAACGAGTATAAGTTATTGATGTTTTCTAATTGAAAGTATTTACTTTAATTAGCTAAAATATACACGTGCACTATTATTTGAGCTAATGAGTAATCGTTAATGACTCTTTCTAATTAAATCATACATTTTCAATTCAAGAAGTTTGTATGTATCGAGCCCGATTAACGAGTTTCTGGATGAAGACTTCACAAAACTTTTACTAGAACAAGAAGAGTACCAGGGTAAAGGAAGCGGTTTTACAAACTGTTATATGTAGAAGATGCTTTAAAACTTACACTTCCAAGCCAGGAAAACCCAGCAAAGAAGAACTTCTACAGCAACACAAAGAGCATTGTAGAGTTAACGAGCCTATAACACCAGTTATGCCTGAGTCTAACACAACAACCAAATTTGAAAACTGGGCCAATACTGAACGGCATCCTGTTGCCATTTACGCGGATTTTGTAGCTGTTTTGTTCAAACACGACTCTGAAGAATTNATTGTAAAGTTAGATGTAGGTATATCAGCTGTGTATATTAAGTATAAAAGGGGGGATAGGTCACTGCCTTGGGGAACTCCGGCGTTTATAGTGAAATGGTTAGAAAGTGTGTTGTTTATATTTACTTGGAAAGAACGTTGGTCTAGGTAAGATTTTAATATTAAGTAGTATGGTGTTGGGAAGTTTGATTTTAGCTTGTGGAGTAACCCTTCGTGCCATACCTTATCGAAAGCTTGGGCTATGTCTAAAAAGACACCTGAACAGTATTTTTTTTGTTCAAGAGATGAGGAGATAGCATCGGTGATACGATGGAGTGGGTGTATTGTAGAGTGATTTGCACGGAATCCGAATTGAGAGTGGGGGATGTTGTTTTTTATTTCTGAAATATTTTGAAGACGTTTTAATAGTAGTTTTTCAAATAGTTTTCCCAAGGTAGGGAGGAGGCTAATTGGACGATAAGAAGAAGTTAAATTTTTAGGTTTACCTGGTTTCGGCACTACTATGATTGTTGATAGTTTCCAAAGTGAGGGAAATGAGAAAGTCTGAGCATGGCATTGAAGATATGGACTATGTTTAGGATAGATTTGCTGGTTAGTTGTTTTAAGATGTTATTTGTTATAAGGTCGTAACCTGGAGCTTTACCGTTCTTTAGTTTGCCAATTGCATATTTGACTTCATTTGGAGAAAAGTGTTTGGGGGGAAGTGTCATTGGTAGGGGGCTATCTAGTGATTTGTTGATTTTGTTTATATGGTTGGCAGAGAGGTTTATGTTGTTGGGTTTAAATACTTCATATAGGTATTCAGCAAATGAATTAGATTTGTCTATGTCAGATACTGCTAATTGGTTGATGTTTAGTTTTATTGACGGTATTAGTTCTCTATGTTTTAATATACTTTTTGTTTTACGCCAGAGAGAGCAGTTAGATGATTGGAGTTTGATAATATTATTTTCGTAGCGTTCTGTGTTAATTTTGTAGAATTCTTTTTTTAGTTTGTTTGAAATAATGTTGAATGCATTTTTGTCGGCAGGGTGACGAGTTGATTGCCATCTCGCTCTGGCTCTCCTTTTTTTTGCTAGCATTTCTTTTAGAACTATTGGGATGTTGTTGGATTTGTTAGGATATTTAGAGGGGGATGAAGAAACAGTTACTGAGTCTTGAATATTGGAAGTTAATTGGATTACAGCATTGTCAATGTCATGTTTGGTTTTTAGAGGAATATTAAGGCTAGTTTTGCTGTCTAGGACGAATTTAAATTTTTTTCAAGGATATTGGACCATTTATGAGGCTTGGTTTGTTGTTGAGAAGGGGGGTTGAGTTTAAAGAAAGTAATACAGCTGTGTGGTCAGAACAAAGTTCGTTTATATTTGAAATAGAATAGTGAATGGTTGGTAGTTATAAAAAAATCAAGTATGTCAGGGTTTCTCTTTTGGTGGGTTGGCCAGTAAGTTGGGTACGCTGGTGATACAATGCGAAGATTGGAGTTGCTTATGGTTTTATAAAGTACACGACCACGGGAGTCAGTAGTGTTATTTCCCCAACATGGGTGTTTAGAGTTAAAATCGCCTCCTATGATGCAGTTATTGTCAATAGATGATAAAAATTTGTTTAGGATGTTTTCGTTAAACGGATTTGCAGGAGGAAAATATGCAGCTACAATGGTAGTGTTTATATTGTTAATTTTTAGTTGGATGTTTGAGCTCTGAATAGATTGGTTAGAAGTAGGAGGACTAATATTGAATTTGATTTTATTACGGATAAAAATTGCTGAACCACCATGAGCAGTTCCATCAGGATGGTCAGTGCGAATGGTGGAGTAGTTCGGGAAAAATATAGTTTTGTTTGGAGTAAGGTGGGTTTCGGTGATAAGTGCAATGTCGATGTTTCTGGAGTTTAGACATAGGGATAAATCGTGGTAATGGTTTTGAACTCCATTAGCATTCCAAAGAAGGATTGAGAGAGGTGATTTGTTTGGTTGGATAGAATTCATTTATTTAGTAGGGAGTCGATGACTTTGGTGAGTAGGGAGATAAGAGGGTTTATTAAGTTTTTGAACTCATTTAAGAAATGGGAAAGATGGGTTGAGATAGAATCATTATTGTTATTTGAAAGAGGTTCATTGTTAATATGATTTGAATTGGGGTTTGAGTAAGTGTTATGTTTAAACTTATTGTGGGGCTGTGAGGTAGCCCATTGGGTTTTTAAAGGGGGAAAATTTTTCTCTTGATTGAAGTTGGTATTGATTTCAGGAGACGGATCGTTGGGGTGGATTTCCGTTGACTTGTAGATTTTCGATGATTTACGTAAATTTTTCAATAGTTTGTATTTAGGGCATCCTTTATATGAGGCCGGGTGTGGTCCTCCACAGAGAGCGCAAGTTGGTGGTGAAGAGTTATCTTTGGAACATTCGTTAGAGTTGTGGGTGTCTCCGCATTTAACACAGCGAGGTGTATGATGACAATAAGTTCTGGTATGGCCGTAATTTTGGCATCTTAGACATTGGACTAGAGTTTTTTTTAGGTGGGGTGCTTCAACTTTTATTTTGGTGTAGCAAATTGAGTCGATTTTGTAAATACTTTGATTTGTTGGAGATGGTTCTAAATCAATAAAAAATATGGGGAGTGGATTTTTGGTTTTATACTGCAGGCAGTTTGTAATTGACCGAACAGAGAAACCAAGAACTTGAAGCTCATCTTTGATGAATTTAATTGGTGTAGTATGGTGAAGGTGTCGAATAACTACTCTGAAAGCTTTGTCGTCGCTAAGTTGATAAGTGT